CAATTTTGGAGTTTGATAACTGCACAAATATCGCCACTGCGCTAGCAACGACCATGCCTTTCACTGGGGGCGTGTAGCAGTTCTCGCCGTTAAAGCAAGACCGACTCTCGCGATGCATGAGACTTCTGAGCCTGTGGGTGCGGGCCGAGGGCTCCTGCAATTGCAAGTACGGTATTTCCCCTACAGACCACCAGGGCGGCCGAGAAAACCTTTGTTCGACCTGAAATGACTCATTTAATCATCCAAAACGTTATGGAACACATTAATTAACTGAAAAATGTTGCATAGTGTGCCTTTAAGACATTTCCAGCAAATCAGACGCTTCCTTTATTTCTTATGTAAAAAAAACAGATATACAGTAAAAGTAACTGCAGTAGCTGCTAAAATAAGATGCTAAAGGTGGTTTAAAATGCGAGTTTCATCATCATTTTGTCTTTTGTCAATAAAATCTCATTTTAGAGTAACCCCTCTCTCCTCAGAGAATATCTTTGCTACTCATAAAAATAATTATGAGGAGGCTAGGAGGTATTATTTTAATTATTTCTTAGAAAAATCCAAAGCATTACAAAACCACGAGAAGCAATGTAACCTTCAAAAATGTCTGATTGCTACATCTTTCTATTGGACGTTAGCAGAGCTGTAGCTGCAGAGGAAGCTTTCTTTTTTATTGTTTTTTCTCCTTTCATCCCCTGAAGGGGCAGAGGAAATGCTAACAGATTTGATTTGAGGCGTCCCTCCTCAGCTGAGCCCACGGTCTGTCAATCTCATCCAGAAATGTAAACCTCTCCCTCTCCGTTAAGTAGGTTAACTTGACTGGGATTAGGCTTTTATACATAACTGTACAGATCTCATTTCTGAAAGCAATCTACGGAGCAATAACTGAATTTTTATCAAAGCAAAAACTTATAATAACTTGGTTAGAATGTAATAAAACATATTCAGCAAGGTTGGTTAGTTTTAGTACTAGAAAAAACCTGCAACCAGAAATAACATTTCTCACCTATAACCAGTGTGTGAACTGATTAAAAAAAGATTACACCCACTGAATTTAATTGTGAATGAGTAACTGAGAAATGGCACAACAGCAGCTTTATTTGCCCTGTCGGCGAAGAGGAGTGGCCCCCGGACCAGTTAACAGGCTGGTTGAGCAACATTTCTACAAGCACCTGGTTTGAGACACATGTTTAGCGGACGGCTGGTTTTTGTCAAAGCAACCGCTTATTTAAAATAATAAAGAAAAAAACTGAGAGGGATGTTTGTTTTGTTTTAAAGGTGCAACCAATGAGTCCAGACTAAAACACAGATGTGGGCATCGGATGCTGCAGCAGGAAGTAGTGAGTTGGCATCTTCTGATATGGAATCCTGTCCAATGCAGCCATTCATTATTCATTACTAAATGTTAATCCACCATATTCTATGTAGACGTACATTATCTGTAAGCATTCCTCAAGGATAGCACAAGGTTACAACCTATAAGGAAGCTTTACAGCCTTCATTGTACCTGCTACACTGTTCTGAGGAACTGCTAAATAAAGATAGGAAACAATGACTAAGACCAATTTCCACTACAGACAAAAGCTGAATCCCTTTTAGGATCAGTTGGAGGGATTATTGTACAATAAATGAGTGAGTCAGACGTTTGAAACGGTCTACAGAAAGTCGATTATGTTTGGGGTTTAGTGCGAACGAAAAAAGGAGAATTCAAAATGAGCGCGCCCCATTTTGCCGCCACAAACAAACTACCCACAAAGCCGCGTAAGCAACCTCGTCGAATCGTACCGCTGCTGCAGCGGCTGCTCTGCCGATAAGCTCATTTCATTACAGCAGACAGGAAGCAGAGTACAGCAGCCAGGATGAAAGTGCTGCAGGAGGCTGAGTCAAAAAACCAGTTAGATCGAGCTATACGTCATCAATCTACCAACAATGCAGTGTCTCCCCTCTCTGCTCCCCGTGGAGCTGCCTGCAGTCAAACTACAAACTACTGCCCAATGTGATCCAGAAAAGACAATCCTTACAACTGGGTCAGAAGTTGAAAGGTACGGTAAGGGGGGGGTAAATGTAATATTGCAACGTAACTGAACCCTGATAAAGTGAATGCTCATGTCCTAAAAAAAGGAGTGATCTAATACTACTGATCTCACACTACAGGGCAGGTTCCATCAGCGGTACCAGAGCTCATTCAGTGGGACTCAGAAGACATGCTGGCACTAATTATCTGCGATGAAAATGAAAGATAATTAACTTTAAAAAGTTCCAACAGGGTAAAAAACTTGTTCTAGCACATTCCTAAGATCCTGATAACCGATATTTTTTTTTTATCTGTATAATTTAATTTGTTTATCTTTTTAAACAATACTTTTTTATTTTTCATAATTCATCTTTGTGTAGTTTTAAGCTTTTTAAGGAGTTTTAAGTTTCAACAAAAATAAAACAGCTCTTAGGATAGGTGGTCAACCACATTCAGGATTCCAGATTTTTCCTTTAAGATACTTTCACCTATTTTTAGTGCTAATTCCACTATAATAGTCAACCTATTATATTCAGTTATGTGTTGAAGTCAAAGCTCCAATAATTTTTTTAAAGAAGCCTTCTTTTTTCAAACTAAAACTTATTTTTTTTTATTTGATAATTTCAATACATTTAAGAAAATTGATTAAAGAGTTTCCTATCTGAACCAGTCTCAAAGAAAAAAAGCATGTCCTTTTTGTTTTCTTTTTTAAGAAGCTATATTTGCCAAACAGTTTCAATAGAATTGTGTGTAAAATAAAACTAAATTAAGGCAATTGCAGCTTATCCAAAAAAAAGTTGCTGTTAAAATGTATTATATTACAGCTGTACTTTAAGATTGACAAAACTCCCTGTTTATTGTTGGCTTAAATGGCAAGCACTGTAGGACAAAATAGCCGTAGATACATTTCAGAGTTAATTGTCACATATAGATGATTTAGAAACATCACACCAACAGTGTTTCCTGAAAAAAAGACTTAACAAGATTAGTCATCCGCAGCTAATATGCTCCGAAACTCTGGACCAAAATCCCAACAAACCTGGGATCTACAAAAATTTTAATTCCTTTAAATCACGACCAAAAAAAAAAAACAAAAAAAAACCTTTAACTACAGCATTTAAACACTTAGTTTCTATCACATCTTCTCAACTTATTAGTTTAAAATTAGCATTTAAATGTTTATGGTGTGTGTTAATATATTTTATGTTTTTGACCTAATGGCATTTCATTGCTGTCCCACCAACTCAAGAGCAGTGTAAGGCGTTTAAGAACAATTTTTCGATCCAAACAAATTTAGACTGCTCCATTGCAAGATGTTTAACATTTAGACTCATCACATCTGGACCAAATTAACCTACAGCAAACAAAGATACTTTAGCAGAGTTTGTTGGTTTGTGCTATTTTATTCTACTTGCAAAAATTGGAATAAAAATCAATTTTGATGCTTTCAAAACTCTGCAGTTTGAACTGAAGTTTGCAACAGTCAGACAAAAACAGGTAGGAACTGGAGCTTCTTGACCCTTCCTGACAATTAGAGGCTTGCCAAAGCGGTAAGCGAAAATGAATGGAACAAAACAAATGTATTCAATGCCACCTGTGCTATACACCTGTTGCTACATAAACTCATATCTGTACCATCAAGCAGCAGACAGTAGTGGTCAAATAGCACAAAGATAACAATCCCAACCATACATCAAATTCATCGTCTTCAAAAAGAAATCACAGTTTCTCATTTGTTCCCCATAATACGTTATTAATTGCCAATGCGAACTCACTAAGTATTCAGAAAGCAAATGAAACACTGTAAGCTGAATAGGATGTAAAGTTAATAAGACATCAAGCAGCCAAGAGGATGTTCAAGCTCAAGGAGAGGAACCTCCAACTTTACCAGTTAGAATGTCTGACCTGAAGAAAATTCTGTTTAATTTTTCTTTTTTTTTTGTTGTTGTTATTTTTTTTATTAATTGTTTTTTTTTAAAAACTATCCACTAAATATGTTTGTTTTTTTGTGTCAAACACCATCATTGCACTGTTTAAACCATTCAAAATTATGAAAACCTTATAATAAAAGTATTTTCCAGATAAATCATAACAGTGACTATGGTGATGCAAGGCAGAGGGGAATAAAATGAAGTTTATTCTCCTGCCAATTCCTATGAATATGTAAACGAGTCCCCAATGTTCACAATTGTGTGTTATACTGTTGTAAACACCCTAAAAGTGAATCTAAACATCAAACCAATATAGTGTGATCAGGCTAAAGACTCCAATCCAGGCTTGCTAACTCGACCTATCACTTTGATTTAAGGATCAAAATCTAATGTCTTCTTTCGTTTTATCAAACAGTTGATTAAGAGGAATTAATTAAGGTATAAATACACAGTAAATAACATACGGATCTAAAGTAAGAAAAGTTGGACAAAAGACAGGACAGTATCCTCTTCCTAATGCTAGCATGGAAGCTAGCTGGATAAACAATCTCGACTCCGGATTCTCGCAGGGCTACGCACTGCCTAGAACACTATTATATATTCCCACAAATAAAACAGAATATCAGAAAATGTACAAATATTATTTTTTTGTGTTTTGAAATTAGGACTAACATAAAAAACAAACATTTAGACGATAAAGCTATAGATTTAGGCAGGAACCCATCTACGTTGCTACACAATAAGTAATTTGACCGTAAATAGCTGTCATTTGGGTTTGGTTATTAGATATTTTGAATAAAAGTAATTGTTAAATATAGTCTTATAAATATTTGACGGGCTTTAAGGTTTGGAATGAAGAGTAAAAAGGTCGAGAACAGTCGTCGTGCAGCTGGATGAGGGGGGCGCTGTAGCTCCTGTGGCTAACTGAGCTAAAGCTAACGAGCTAGCTTAGTAGCCAGGGCGATCAAACAGAAACTCAGCAGGATTTAAAAAGCACAGATCATTCAAACCACAACCAGAGATGAAACTACGGGAAGCTACACACACTGCAGCATTTTTACCTGCAACTCGGCCCGCTCCACCTCCCATTGTGCTCTCTCTACTTCGAATCGGGCCCATTCGTGCTGCAGGAAGTGCAAGATCCCCGGGATGCTGTACTGCGCCCTGGCCGCCTCCCCTCCGTCGCCATCGGGCATCGGTCCTTTCCCACCGCCGGCTAAAACAGAGTTGTTATTGTTGTTGAAGAACACGCCGGGCCCTGCCTGTTCATCCATGGCCGGGCTCGGTGGGGAGGTTGATCCGTTGTTGCCGAGTCGATATACTTAGATATTATTGGAGGCGCAAAAGAAAAGAAAAATAAAAAAAACTATCGACTACGCTCCTTCCACTCGACTCAGGGTGAACTCACTTTCTGACAGCTAGCTGTCATCTAGTGACGCCAGCAACGGAGCCACGCCCACAACAAGCTGAATGAAACGCTCGATTTGTTCACCGGACTATCCGGAGAGCACACACAGGAAGTGACCAAATCACCTTTTTTTTTTTACACCATCCATTTTTGGGGGAACTAATACGGAAGAGGATTTGGGCCACTGAAAAAAACGAATGAACAGAATTTTACATTTTATTTCAGTTTAATGTGGGGAAAAAAGTCAGAATTCTAAGATTAAAGTCAGAATTCTGAGTTTTTCTCAGAATTGTCACTATTTTCTCAGAATTCTGACTTTAATCTCAGAATTCTGACTTTTTTCTTATGACTATGGGTGGAGCCTATCTCCAGTTTGCAAAGGAGGATTAGGGCCACTGAAAAAACAAAAAAGTTTACAGATTTTTAAAATTTATTTGAGTTTAATATGGGGAAAAAAGTCAGAATTTTTAGATTAAACTCAGAATTCTGAGGAAAAAAGTCCGAATTCGAACTTTTTTCCTCAGAATTCTAATATTAAAATGAAATAAAATTTAAAAATCAGTTAACTTTTTTTTTTTCTCAGTGGCCCTAATCCTCTTCCGTAGTCAAAAATTCCACAAATCAATAAAAAAAAAAAAAAAAATGCGCAAATAAGATTTTAATACAAAGTTTATTAGTTATGAAAGCACTTAATCACCTTAATTTAGTAGAATAAAAACAGATTATTCACATACTTAAAATGTTTACTTTTGATTAATTACATGACAATTATCTAGGCTATGTTATCTTATTTTAGAAAATCTATTTAATAAGTAAATTGTTTTAAGATTGAAAAGTAAGCCCACTAAAAGTACCTCGATGAGTACTACAAAAGTTACACTAATACTTTTACTGTACATAAAATCTGCACCAGCGTTGCATTGAATGGGAGCAATGCGCCTGACCTGCTGCCACGTTAAAGTCCAAATTGTTTTAATCAATTCACAATTTATGCTTGTTAAAAGAGGGACTTGTGAACAACTATAATGTCCTGGTAGGTTACTGGTTAGAATTTGGACATAAATAGTGGAGTAACAGCAGCAGATGACGTGGTCTAATCACACACAACTTGGTCCTGTAAAAACCAACTCAAGCCATAGTCAACATAGCCAAGTGCTTGAGATGCAGTTTTATTGATATGAGTAATTGATGGATAGATATGAATAAATGAAGTATTAAGTAAAATGTTTCATTTGCAAAAATACCTCCAGTCCAGCTTTTTTTTTTTCGTGGTTCTCTTCCAGAATATAATCATAAGACATGAACATTTCAAGATTTTCTTCCTCACTGGACTACTGTTTTTCTGGCTTCATAAAAACAATAAGGTGAAGTCCACAACATTCAGAAAACACAGATGAGTCAAAGAAAATTTATTCAAACTCCCCCAAAATTCTTAAATTGTTTAAACAATTAATGTTTACATAATTATTAGCAGTGAATACAAGTGAGGGTTGCCATTCCTTCATGGGGAAAAACAGTTAATGTAATCTGAAGCACAATCATTAAATTTCAAAATATACCCTGCGCCTTTCATTAGCAAAAGAAAAACATTTCAACACAATCTCAAAGCTGGCTCCATTTTTAAATTTTGTTCCATCGCTTTTAGGAGGAATGTTAAGACATAATTCACAGCAAAAATATTAATTAAAACTAAATAAACGTGGCAGAACTGAAGGTTCAGGTACTGCAAGAACTATTTAACAAATACACAGAATTATACTTTGTAAGACAAAGTAACCTCCAAACTAATGGTGGTGAAAATCAGATGAAAAACATGGCTAAACCTCAGCCTTGAGTTAAGGTTAAATGGTATTCGTCACTTATAGGGAACAAAAGTTAAGCCTGGATGTGATACATTCATCAAATAAATTTTTGAGATGTTAAAGCAGGCATTCTAAAGTGATCAAAAGGTTATTTAATGCTGTTTACAAACGACCATTTAGACTTTCAGAATAGTTTAAAACAAAGATGAGATGAAGAATAAATATATACATTTTACAACAGAGATGAATAACAAATATGGTAAGGAGTAAATGGCCATCAGGAAAAAAAAAAAAACGCCAACACAGCATAAAGTGTTTTGAGAGAGTGCAGTACATGTTGAGGTGCTCAGAAGAAGCTGGTCTTGAGTTTAATCGTAGGCGCAGCCTGCACAGTTGGCTGATTTTGCCTGGCTGCTGCCTTGGCTTTGTTGCTGGCCTGGTTAGCTCGTATAGCGGACTCAAGACGCGTTTTAAGCTCTGGTGCTGCCCCGATTACTGTCTTGAAGGCAGCTGGATACAGTGGGCCGATTCGCATCAAGTTCTGAAGGGCAAAATCGTGCAGGTTTTTAGAGACTGGGGGAGCGGAGGAGATGGCATTCTCATCCAAAAGGTAGGAGATGAGAGTTGGAACAAGAAGAGCCAACAGCTGCACTCCTGTTGAACCAAACAACACATGTATTAAATTAACAGTAAATGCAGATCATTCAGAATCATGACTTTGAGAGACCAATTGGAGTCATGGTTGCACTGTTCTCCACTGTTACAGACCGAGCCAACCTGACAAAGCAACCCAACCTGTGCTTAAGCTGTACCATGTTCATTCAACCACTGAGTATTATATTGGTTTTCAAATTCTGAAGTCCTAGTGCTGATCCTTTTTCAGTTTTCTGGAAAAAGCGACCATATTTTGGGGTGACCTAGTGGTTAGAGAGCAAGGTGTTTGCATCCAGAAGATGCTGCAGGAATCTCAAACTGACACTTTTAGGCTTTTTACATATTCTGCCAGAAGTGAAGTTTATTCTCTGTTTCAGAGCTGTAAGAATTAAAGAACGTTATTTTGTTCTCCCAGCCCTGTATCGGGGATTCTCACTGCTTGCTCTTAACACAACCTCTGGGCAGAACTTTCTTAGCAGTAAAGTAGCCAAAGCAGAGATGTTTTTCCCATTTTGTATTAAGGTCAGCAATCTCCCCCTTTAATACAGGTACAGTGATCTGTTTTGTTATGGAGAGTTTTGAGGATCCACTGGCAGAGGCAGGGATAAAATATGAACATCTGCATGACACTACATTTAATACGAAGCATTTTGCTCTCCCCCATAATGCTTCATCTGCTATTTTGTTGCTCTTGTGTTCACTTTTGTGGGTATTGGCCTTTCTATGAGTGTGGCAGCTGAGCTTCTTGTTAAACATGAATATATGGAGGCAAAATTAATTTCTTTCTTTTTGTCACTTTGGAAACAAGAACACAGTTCTTGTTTTTTGCTGAGTGTTTAACAAGTTTAGGTCCCCAAGAAGGAAGTTTCACCAAAGAATGCTGCGCAGTGAAGCACCATGCTGCTCTCTAAGGACACATTTCCTCACTATGGGACCATTAGGACTGTATCTGCCCATATTTACAACATCCTAATACTTAAAGATTCCAAAATGGCAGCTATTCTAACAAGGTTTTCAAGAGTTTTCCAAAACAAACAGACCCTCAGATCCCACACAACACCAAAGAGAGGATGTTTGTTTATTTTCCACCAACATTTCTTTGTTTTACCACAGAATCCTAGTATCTGCTGTTTAAAGCTCTATTTGTATCTCTTCTGACCAAAGCATTCGGATAAAGTTCAATGGATTTGTTGTTCGTTTGGTTAGGATTATTTGCTTTTACAAGCAAAGTTATTACTATATTAATAAAAATATTTAAAAAAAGGTGTACACATAAAAAAAATACAATTAGCATCTTTCAGCTCGCCTAAGAACAAAAAAAACAACAACAGAATGCCTAAATATGAACATCTTCTGCATGTGAAGAGTCATTTTTTTAAAAGGGAAAAGAGAATATCCGCTATGATATAATGTTATGGTAAAATCAATAATAAAACTGACATTAAGATAGCGGTGGGATTCTAAATTTAATCTGATGCATTGAGCTCTAAATTCTGCAGCTAAGGCAACATGGCATCATAACAATAGAAGAGCCCTTCAGAGGTCCATTAAGTAAAAGCACTCACTGTTTTTTTCCTCCCCCATTCCGACCAGATTCTCTAGGACCCTGATGCCCTCCTGTACGGCCTGCAGCTCAGCAGCAGTTCCCGGTCGGCTGCGTTCCACCGCCTTTAGCTTCTCCACCATGAGTGGAGCGAGGGCGTGGATGTAAGGAGTGGACAAGGCTCGGTTGGAGTGTTGAAACACTGACAGAAGCAGCTGGTAACACCGAGCTTGAACCTGAGGAAACAAAAGTGTAATTTGTGTCTACTTGGTGGGATTAAATATGGAAAGTATTCAAACCTTTTCCTTTTTTTTAAGGTTAGAACAAAACTAAGCATATTTTATTTGAAATTTGCATTAGAATCCATTAGAATTTTATAAATAAAATGCTAAAGGTGTGGCTCTGTTAATCTAACCTAATATTCTGCAACTAAATTCCCTCAGACGTCAACTAATAAGTAAATGTAGTCCACCTGTGTGTAGTTAGCTGTTTTGTACAGAGTAAGATATTTGTTAAAGAATATTAAAAAAAAATATGAAAAAAATGTATCCTAAGAACCACTGAACATAACAAATTTTAATGTGAAGTTAGAGTTGATGTTTAGATGGATGGTTTATAAAACTGGACAATGCAGGAAGAATACATTTTATAGGTTCTACAGGGTTCCTACAGCATAAGACTTTTTAAGACTTTTTAATGCCACTTGAAATAAAAATTTAAGACCAAATTCACAAGAAACACAAGAAAAACCTGCTTGCGACAACTTAACCCAAAGGTTTATTTTAACATAAACCACTGCACTAATGTTTCAAATTTTGAAAAGCTTCCCATACAGGAAGAAAGCTAAAAACACACAAATGACAGATAAATTTTAACAAATATTTAACTGAATTCATAAACTTTGTTTTAGCAGGGAACAAAACAAATCAGTTTTAAAGCCACAACATAACCAGTGCTAAGTCTTTTTTGCAGCTATTTTTCTTTGAGATTTTGACGCTTTGTGTTTCGTG